AATCGATCGATCCATCGATCGATATCTCGATAATAATATTAATAAAACGGTAGAAATCAATAATTAAATTTTTTTTTTTTGCAATGTTTACAAGTGCTTATATCACTCGATAATCGTTTCCCGTTTTACTTGTGCGACTTTTTTTTTTTTTTTTGGTACCTGAACGTAATAGTAGTAATTACGTGTTACGTAATAACCAGCCTCTCTCTCTTCCCCCCCCCCCTCTCTCTCTCTTTCTCTTAAAGTGGTTCGAAAGCATTTTCCGGGGTGTCTTTTAATAATAAAACTCTTAATTAATTAACAACAAAAAAAATTATTTTAATAATTTTTTTTGGTAACGTTCGATTCGTTTTATCATCATCATCATCATTATTATTATTATTATTATTATTATCATTAAAACAAACGAACGAGAAAGTACCTTAAAAAAAAACAAAAAAACAAACATGGCGGCCGAAGAATAATTAATAATTGACACGTGGTGAAAATTTAAAAAACGAAAATTTTTTTTTCCGACGTGTATTTTATCATTATTATTATTATTATTATTATTATTATTATTATTATTATTATTATTATTATTTACCCTTTCTGGAAAATTTTGTACGAAAGGGAGAAAGATGTCGGGGTTATTTTTCACCCCCTCACTTCCCCGTGAGTTCCTTTTAACGAAATCCAATGGGAAATTTCAAATTTGTAGGGAAAAAAACTAGTTTGCAGGGTTTGTTTGTTTGTTTTTTTGTCTGCGTGCGTGCGTGTGTGTGTGTGTGTGTGTTGTCCATGACTTCTACTAGATTTTAAATATGTTAATGGTTTCCAAGTGCAAGAGCAAAGTCATTCGGTTAAATTAAAAAAAAAAAATTCGTGCGTCGATTTGAGCTTACATACAAACAAGGGCATTAAATTATCGTAAAGAGGAAAATTTTTACGAAAAAAGAAAAAAGGAAAAATAATAAAAAGAAAATATAAAAATTTAACCTCAAGTTTTTTAAACGTCCAAAAGCGAATAATAGAAAAATAAATTTCTTAAGGAATACGTGACTTTTATCAAGGGCCCCCCCAAAAAAAAAAAAAAAATTTTAATAAATCACAACGACAGATTAGACAACTCGCGTGTATAGAGAAATCAAAATAAAAAATGTGGCGGGGAGGTAAAGGTATCCACCACCACCACCATCACCATCACCATCATCATCATCATCATCATCATCATCACCTTACGTCGTATAAAAAAAAAAAATTTAATAGAATCACATAAAATTAATTAAGGCGGAATCGACAAACGTAGATAGTAAAAGAAAAAAAATAGGAAAAAAAAATTTTTTTTTTTTTTTTTTCTTTGGGTGGTGGAACCTGAGATACGAATGTGAACGTTTCTACGTAAAGGAGAAACTTTGATCAGTGTTTTTGTGAACACTTCCAAACATTCCCTCTCGGTACTTATGACGGTTCTCCCGGCGAATTTGGATAGTCGTCTTTTGGGTCGGATGATGATCTGAACTGTTCACACATCTCGTATTTACGTTTGTGTTTATTTAAAGTTAAAATAAATAAATAAATAAATTTTTTTCGTCGTATATATACGTAAAAGAAAATTTCGAGAAAAAAAAAATGGCCGCCGAAGCATTGAAAATTTTTATCGCTTTTTTCGTTTTTGGAAATCTTAAAGAAATTTATTCTCAATCGAACTGTAAGTACAAAAACAAAAATTTTTCTTATTTTATTTTACTTTTTTCGTGTGAAAATATCGTTCGTTTATAACGGTCGCGTTTCCGAAAATCGATCCATCGATAGATCGATCGATCTATCGATCGATGGATCGTTACGAACTAAACGTTAACTGACTGGTTGTTGGAAACGACATCGTGTAATCGACTTTTGTGTGACCTAGCCTAATAGAAAACGTGATAAGCTTACTTGGCCCTCGGGGTATTTTAAAAATCTTATCACACGAATTATCCGTTTCCGTTTCCGTTTTTCAAATTTTTTTTTTTTTTTTTCCTTTCGATCAATAATTTTTTATTTTATTTTGTGTTAAACAGATCCGTTCATTAAACAATGCAAATCCGACAATAAAGATTTAACGAGATGTTTTCTCTCAACGATGCATCACATTCGTCCTTTTTTGGCAAAAGGAATTCCGGAAATAAACGTGGCATCAACGGAACCTTTTAAAATCGACGAACTCAGCCTTTCTTTGACTACGGGTCCGAACGGGTATAAAGTTACCTTACGGGACATCGACGTTTTTGGCGTGAGCAATTTCACGGCAACATCTCTCAAGTAAGTTTTTAATTTTTTTTTTCTTCTAATAACGATTCGAACGTCCCGTTCGCTTGCTTTTCTCTCAAACCTTAAAAATTAATGTTTAGTCTAATTACTTACACGAGTGCATTGAAAAGTATAACTCGTAAATTGACTTTTTTTTTTTGTTTTAATACGCGAATTTTGTGGGAGTCGCATTCGTATATGTATGCGCGAGTGCATATATGCGGTATGATAAACATATTAAGGCGTCGTAAATTATGTATACATATATATATATATTAATAATTTATCGTTAAAAAAAAAAATAATAATAATAAGGATGACAACGAGAAAAAAAAAAATTTTAAACTTGCGTTTCGAACGTGATATCGTTAACTCCGGGTATCCAAACGTTCGACATTGATCCGAATTTAACGTTTCTCTCCTTGTTCCAACTCGTTCTTTTTTTAGGTGCAGACCAATTACCTTTGAATTTTTGAAATAATTTCGAATCCGATATGTTTTTTATGCTTTTAACGAGTCGTATGTCGAAAAATTTTTCGTTTTCGAATGTGTCACCGCAATTTTTCAACACGACCTGACTATTTTCCCTCGAATTTAAATCGATTTCTTCGAAAAACGTGACGGGTTTCGAATTGACGACGTAATTAATTGCGAGCTCTTCGTCTTTTTGTTCGTAATTTTCTATTTCGGATGCATTACCGTCTTTTAAATTCGAAGAACAAGGTATTAGATCGTCGTCGACGTCATCGTCGTCGCAAACGACGACGTTCGCTGATCTTTTTAACTCTTTATCGGTAGCGTTCGAAATGACGGATTTATCGAATAAAACGTCGACGTTTTCTTGTTGAATCGTGACATCTTTATTTTTAGAACGTTCTTTAGTATGAGTTTTATTTTGAGATGATTTGGGAGCGTTTGTCGTCGTCGTCGTCGTATTTTGTATCGATGTTCGATGATTGCTCGTTTGTGGTAAACTCGGATCGTTTTTCATTCTTTTCGATGCGAACATAGCTCTCCGATGATTAATATCTTCGTCCCAAGATCTCAAAATCGAACCGTAATCCAATAGTGCCATTATCGGTAGGAATACGATAAAGATAAAACTCATTATGATGAAATTACAAATGAGTTGCCATATAAAATGAAAAAAATTAAAATAAATGTTCGAACTGAAACCTTCTCTTATACCGAAAACGGGTGGTAAAAGGGTACCGATGAACCCGCTCACCAAATGACACGCGATCACGTTCGAATAATCTTCTATGGGGGAATTATTTATCATGAAAGAAACGAAAAAATAAATTCCACCGTTGCAAAGACCGATGAGTAAAGCAGCCATCGGGTAATACACATCCGCACCCGATGCTATAACGGCGACACCCGCCATGCTCGCCTGCATCGATCTCATACCCGTCCATTTGTGTAAAGGTTCGCAGGGACACGTGAACGTGAGTAAAAGAGCCGTGGCCATAGAACCGAACGCCGATAATAACATGTTCGTTAAAACTATACCGTAAAAATTATATTCTAAATGTCCGAGCAAATAATTTTCCGTCGGTATGCTTATACCGAAAAATCCAACGAGCATTAAAAAATTACCGAAAAGGGTCAGGCTCGGTCCGTTATCGGGTATCGAACATATATCCATGTCTTTGAACCTCATTATCCTCTTGTTCATTACGAGCATGCTCAGACAGGAAAGAAAACCGCCGGACATGTGTATTAAACATCCGTAACTGTAGTCTTTGTATGAAACTTTGACTTTGTTGAAAACAAAACCTCTCATCCATCCCGAACTCGATAGGATCCAATGTATTAGTATGGGGAAAACGGCACCGGATATCAACAGGTTCAATATGAAACTCGCGAAAAATGATATTCTGTCACCTATGGCGACAATGAGTAATCCGGATACGGCAACTATTATTATCCAACCCTCAGCAAAATTATTCTTATCACTTTTATCACTTAAAAAACTATCCAAACCTATGAAACCCCCGTAATCGTCACCGTAAGCGAACAGGTATCCAATTATACCGTACACGACAGTGTTCACCGATAAATCAATAATGTTTTGAAAAATTAATGTTTGTATGTTGCTACTCGGTACCGAACTCACGTGTGATAAAAACAAACCCGCCCTTATCAGTATAATTGAAGTTAACTTGATAAAAATTGACGAATCTAAAATTTGTTCCGATAAAACGTAATCAGATTTTTGTGTACCAATTTTCTCGTCATCCGAATTATAAAAAACGTCCATATTTGTTTTCATACGTCCCAAACACTATTGACAACATTCGCTATTATTATTATTATCATTATCATCATTATTTTATTTTTTTTAAAAAAATTTAAATTTTTTTAATTCGAGAATTTTTTATTTTCGATTAGATTGGCCAACGGTAAGAAACCGTTCGAAACGAAAATAGTTTTTCCAAAATTAAGAATCGCATCGAGATATTCATCGTCGGGCGTTTTGATAATATTACCCGCGACCGGAAATGGTACTTTTCACGGAGTTTTAGGTGACGTCACAACCGTATGCAGAGGTTACGTGAGCATAAAAAAACGTAACGGAGTCGATTACATGAGAATCGATTCAATGGATTTGGATATGGATGTGAAAACTGTTAGAATGATGGTTAAAAAAGTACACAACAGCAATAAAATTTTGAGTGAGTTTTCCCTCTCTCTCTCTCTCTCTCTCACTCCGGGGGAAAGAAAAGTATTGAAATAATTATTATTATTTTGGTTTTCAGCCGAAGCGACAAATCTTTTCTTGAAAGAAAACGGTCACGAAGTACTTAAAGCAATGACGCCACAACTTCGTAAAAAACTCGCATCCTTTTTCTTACAAATAGCCAATAACGTTTTCGAGAATGTTCCATTGAATAATTTTTACCAAAAGGTTTGAAAAAAAGGAAAAAACAAATAAAATTTATACCAAAAAGTCTGAAAGAGTGCGCGCAAACGTATGAATGAGTATAATAATAATAATACACGAACGTGTCCTCCTGTCCCCAATTTTCCTCCTTCTATCCCGTTTTTTTCCTGTTTTCCCCAACACGAGAATGAATGTAATAAATATTATTAAAGCCAAAAAGTAAATGTAGTTTTTATTATTATTATTATTATTAATTAAATTAAATAAATAAATAAAAAATCAATAAAAAAAAAATTTTTTTTTTTACGGTGTTACGTAAATGATAAAAAATCTATAACCACGTCTTTTTATCGTTGCCATTATTATTATTATTATTATTATTATTATTATTTAGTTTAATTTTTTTTTGTTTAGTTTGTTGTTTAAAAAAAAAAAAAACGTTGTAGTTAATAAATAAATAAATAAATTGTTAATAATTAAAATGCAAGTTTGAGTTTTTATTTTATTTTTATTTTTTATTCTTTTTTCGTTTATTTAAATGAATGACGTCACGGGAATATTGTTTTCCGTATGAAAAATTCATGAGAATTTTTTAAGATTTATTTATTAAATTAATAAATTAAACACGTTCGTTTAAATCGAACGCGTTTAAAAAAAATTCAAGTTTGCTATGGAAAAATTATTATTATCTCAACTTCGATGATTTTTTTTTTTTTATCCGTGGCATTAGTTCAGGGTAAAGTTCAAGTTAGCCGGGAGTTGTGGTGTCCTCCTGTAATCCAACTACTCGGAGGTTGGGTATATAGGATGTTTTAAGGTCGGGGGTTGTGGGATTGGATTTTTCAAGTTGATTAGGCACCCGCTAAGGGTAAATCGGAAACTTGGATGCCTTGGGAGAGTCTGAGGTAGCCAGGTTGAGTCCGAAAAGGAGGGAAAAATCGGTCTAAAAGTCTCACCGAGCTGAGAGTCGTGGGTTCAAATTCTGGGAGTGGGAGTTCGATTTCAGCTCGTCCAAACAAGAACGGATTTGTACCTATGTAAGGGGATAAGTGACCTAGCATCCTTTCGAGGCATTGGGGATGCGTTGATTCTTGCTCGAGAGGGTGACACTAGGTACTTGATCCATCTCTCTCTCTCCGGACACTCGCAAACTCTGCGGAAGAAGCAGGAACGATGGCAACAGATCGGTGGATTGTCACTCGAAGGGTAAAAGGGGAAGTACCGGAATCTTCTAAAGGTGGGATTCTCACCCTCGCAAGTGTGGACCTGATGATTCTGGCTCAGGAAGAAGTTGAGGCTGAAATGCAGGTTAGCGCCTTCCTTCGGGAAAAAGAGCACGGTGAAACCACGTCCAGGAGTTTTAGTTGAGTGGTGGCTTCGAGAAAAGGATTGGAAAGAAAAAGGAACGTTGATGGCGGCGACGGGAGGTGAGTCGAAAGGGGAGCCGGGAGGAGGGTAAGGACACGAATAATAAAATGTTTAAAAAATTAAGAATTTTAATAATAAAAATGACGAAAAAAGAAAAAAAAAACTCGACCGCTATTTTGACCAGTTGTTGATAATATTTAAGGTATGCTTAACTAAAAATTGCAAAACCTGAGTTGTCTTAGGTCCAGTTGTTGTTGTCGTTGTCGTTGTCGTTCTTACCATATATGGTATTTGAAATTTTTCGTTTTTTGAATATATTAAAAATCCGTGCGTGTGCGTGTGCGTGAATTTTTCTATCCATTTTGACTATTCGAATGCATACGACAAAATAGTCACGTACGCCTCATGTGGCATAATAATAATAATATTTAATTTATTTAAACGACAACACTAAAAACATTTTTTTTAAAAAAAAAAAAAACATGACAGTTCGACGTCGTCGAGTTTTTTTTTTTTTTTTTTTTAAATTATGTGCTTGCCTGTTATAAAAAAAAAAATTCAAGGCGCCATTTTTTTTTTTTTTGTTTTAACTCTTGTTACATTTTTCTTAAAAGAGAAAAGAAATTTTTTTTTTTTCTCTTACTCCAACGATTTAATTTTTAAGGTACGTAAAAGAAAGAAGAAGAAGAAGGTATGAGAAAATGGCGGCTCTATCGTATGAATAAATCGAGATCAACGGTTTATTATTATTATTATTATTATTATTATTACATTTCACCGAGAATGGAATGACGGAGGTGAAATTTTAAAGAAAGAACAACCGTTTTACTTCGAGTACTACTACTACCACCACTGATACTACCTTCTTCTTTGAAAGTTTTTTAAACAGTTTCAGGTAGTCACTTATAAAACAATGTTATACAGGTATTTATTTTTAACGGTTATTTTATCCGTTTTTCCGATAATTAAAACTCAAGATGACGACGATGACGATTTTCCAGTTCGTAAGTAACAAAAAAAATTTTCTTTTTATTTTTATTTATTAATTTTTTTCTTAAATTTCAAAAAATTATCATCATTATCTTCGTGTCTTCAGCGGATTATATATATCAGTGTAAAAGAAACGATCCGGATGTGAATGCCTGTTTAACATATGCGGCAAATCATTTAGCCAATCATTTTAAAGATGGTATTCCAGAATTAGGAGTTCCAGGTGTCGAACCTATATCCATCGATGAAATACAAATCGCATTAGGTACAGGACCGGATGGATATCGTGCTATTTTTAGAGATATCGATGCTTATGGTGTCAGCAACATGACCGTAACTGGAGTTAGGTAAGTGAAAAATTCTATTTCGGTAAATTCCTACAGCAAAATTATAAAAACATGGCGTTTGTCTGTTTCCAGAACGGATTTAGATACTCTACAATTTCAATTAAGTTTTTTTATACCAAAGATATCAGCACAAGCCAAATATAGAAGTTCTGGAGTTTTGATTATGGTTAAAGCATCTGGAGGTGGTGAATATTGGGGTGAATATGGTAAGTTAACCTCATAATAAATTTTTAAACTCTTATTTGATGATAAAAACAAGTTTTTGTATTTTCTTTCGTAACGGTTTTTTTTTTTTATTAAAACATTTCACTTTGATATAGTCGACTTAACAAAAAAAAAGAAAGACTTTCTAATTATTAAGTGAAATGCGTTTTGCAAAATGCGGGCATGAATCAAAACGAAAGTAACGTACTAAATTTTAAAAAAAAAAAAAATTTACCGCTATATTTTTTTTTTTTTTCTGCTTCTTCATTGACGTACGTAAAAATTTATCTGGTTTGTATTAATTTATTGGGGGGGGAAGGGGGAAAATCCATTTGAAATTTACCGTAAATACAAAATCTCTCTTATCATTTTATTTATTTATTTTTTTTTTTTAAAAAAAGTAATAAAAATTATTTTTTTTTTTTCTTAAACGTGTTTAAACATTCGCGAGCACGTTGTTTTGTTTACATAACAGTGCCATCTTTTATTTAATTCACGAACTAGTTTAAATTTTTTTTTTTCACCGATAGATGTCACTAAATACAATTTCAATTTACAAAATGTAAAATCTCTTCATTTGTTTACATTTTCTTAAAGGGATAAGTTATCATTTAAAAAAAAAAAGAAAAATTTATTATTTAACGTAGTAATAATAATAATAAATTGTTTTTAATGATAATGATGATTTGATAATGAAATTTAATATCCATGTTTTAACTTAATCGACTTAAAGTAGGGAGAAAGTAGGATTAAAAAAAAAAAAAAAGAAAATAAGAGAAACGGTTTCACTTTCATTTTCATCGTTTTAATTTAAAAAAAAATTTTTTTTTTTTGATTACAGAGGGTGTGAGAGCAAAAGTTTATTTTAGAGCAAAAGCTCATCCCGTAGGAAGACACAAATATTTAAGCATCGAAGAAATCAAAATGGATTTCAGCGTGAAATCAATTAAAATGGGTATACAAAACATACACAATGGAAATTCCGTACTCGGTGAGTTTTTTTTTTTTTTTATTAAAACACAAAGACGATAAACGACGTCGATATTTATCGATACATCGATATATCGATCGATCGATCTATCGATAAATTCTAGTTTTTTACCTTCACTTCAAACACCCACCCCCGCAATTAAAAAAAAGAAATTTTTTTTTTTGTGTCACGAATTCGAAAGTAAAAGTGAAAGTGTTAATGAAATTTTTTTTTTTTTTGATGATATCAGAATGTGTTGTTATCAATAAACAACAAACGGGTGCGTTTACAAACAAACAATCAAACAAACAACAATGTTTGTTGTGCTTTCGACGTCATCGCGTACATACAACGCAATCCCTTTGCTCCCCTTTCCAGTTCGAAATTTTTTTAACCATTTTAATTTTTTTAACGACTTTATTATTATTATTATTATTATCATTTAATGTCGTTTGTTGTTTGTTATTGTGGTTGTTTTACAGAAGCCGCATTGAACTTGATGATAAACACGCACGCTCAAGAATTATTAACGGAAATGAAACCGTCATTGAGAAAAGAACTCGTTGGAAAAATGAAAATATTTACGGAAAATATTTTCGCAAGAATTCCATACGACATTATGGTAGCAGACGATTAATTTATTTATTACTCTTTCACCACCACCACCCCCTCCCCCGTAATAAAAAACTCAAAAAAAAACTATTATTATTATTATTTTTACCCTTTTAAATTTATTTCTCGTTTTATTTATTAAAAAAAAAAATTACCTCTCTAGTATTGAGTAAAAATTTTTACACAATCTGTGATTTTATTATTATTATTATTTATTATTATTATTATTATTATTATTATTATTATTATTATTATTATTATTATTATTATTATCATTATTACTATTATTATTATTATCGTACAGTTTTTTAATTTTATTCTTGTTGATGTTTTTTATATATATATATATTAATAAAAAAAAATGGCGTAAAATTTAATTAAAATTTTTTTCCCCCCCCCCAAAAAAAATTCTTTTTAAAAAAAATTACCTTTTTATTACTCGGATCGGAAGTCGTAATAAGAAGTAATAAAATTACGGTGGTAATAAAATTTAATAATAATAATAATAATAATTTTTTTCGAAAGAGAGAAAATGTCCCGTTGAGAGCGAGTTTAAAAAAAATTTTTTTTAAAAAATGTGTTATTATTAATTTTTATTACCGTAATAATTATTACTTTGTTATTTTGAGAAATGTCGATGTAAGTTTACATACAAACGTACAAACAAACAAACAAACGAGCGTGTAAATAAATGAGAGAGAGAATTCATTGATAAAACGACGAAAAGAAAAAACTTTTGACTTTTATTAAAAAAATTACCACCGTTTTTAATTAGTAATTAATTACCGTAATTACAAAAACGTCATAAAATTTAAAATTGAATTTTTTTAAAAATTATATCATTTCACGGTTTCGATCAATAATAATAATAAAATCATATCTGATAAGAAGTAAAAAAAAATCCGCGATAATAAAATTTAATTTTAATTAATTAATTAATTATTACCGATTATTGTAATTAAATTTTTGTCAATCAAGTTTTTTAATTAATTTTTTTTAACGGTTTTTTTTTGTTTCAATAAATTAATTAATAAAAATAATATTGTTTTGATAATATGATGAATAATTTAAATTTTACGGTCGATTAAATGCATTTAAATTGCACTCGAAATTAATAGCAGAAGATAAACAATTTTTTATTATTATTTTTTTTTAAATGAAATTTTCGTAAATTTTTTTGATTATGTTTATGAAAATAATAAAAAAAAAATATGTGAAAAGGCCCCGTCATGATGACGTTGGTGATGATGGTGGAGGTGGTGGTGGGGATGGTGATGGAAATGATGATGATGACGATGGTAATGGGGATGGTGATGGAGATGGTGATGGGGATGTTGGTGATGATCTGATGATGGAGAGTCAGATGATGATGATGATAATGATGGGGATGGTGATGGAGACGTTGGTGATGATCTGTGATGGAGAGTCAGATAATGATGATGATGATGAAAGCGGTGGTGGTGATGATGATGATGACGATGATGGTTTTGGTGGTGAGAGTTGTGTTGGCTATGATGATGAGGATGGTGTTGGAGATGGTGATGGAGATGACGATGGAGACGTTGGTGATGACGATGATGAGACTAGTGTTGGTTGTAAGAATGGTGTTGGCTATGTTGATAATGATGATGGTAATGATGTTAGTGATGATAGCGATGATCAAAATTGTTTCATTTTCGGCCCGATTCGAAGTAAAACATAGATAAAAAAAAATTATTTGGAACGGACCAAGTCCAAAATTTAATCATCCCTTCGATCCTCCTTCATCCCCTTTTACATCCCGTTAAAAATAATTAATAATTAATTATTCGATTATTAATTAAGACCGAATCGGGAAAACGATAAAAAATTTTACAGGAAAAAGGGTGGAAATTTTTTTTTAATGTTTCCGGTATTTCCAATGTATTTTTTTTTTTTAATGGGTAAGATGAGGGCAGAGGGGGCGGGAAGTTTTTCGACCCCCCTCTCGACATCCTCTTACTCCTCTTCGTCCCGCAATATTGTTTATTTTTTAATTTGAATTATTATCATTAAGTCATCAAGCGTGGATTTTAAAAAATTTTTAATTATTTGCAATTGGTAACAAAAAAAACTTAGTAAACTTTTTTATTTATCAAAGTGTCGTCAATAAGTTTTTTTATTTTTTTATTTTTCTAATGACACGTTAACGAAATAAATTCTAATTCGTGTTCGAAAAGATTAGAAAAAAAAATTTTCAAATTTCCTATCGTGCGTACAAATGAGGAGCGAACGCAGTCATTTTTACAAGTACTTACGCACTTGAAAATTTTTTCACATTCAAAAGGGAAATTATTGATGATCCCTTGTGGAAATTTTCCGAATTGCTTTCCCGTGAGCAAATCTGTTGTTATAAGAAGGTTGATGAAACTTTAAATCTTCACTATCAGCAAAAGTGTGTTAAGTTTCATTAATACCAAAATGCTTTCAAACACAGGATTTATTTTCTTAATTTCAGCCTTTTGCATCGGTTTGGGATGCAGCGATCCACTCCGTAAGTAAAACAAAACAAATTTAATTATAATTAAATTTCAATTGATTTTTTTTTTCCTTCTCCTTCTCTTGGTTGCAAACCGGGAGGTACCAACAGATCGTAAGAGGTGGAGAAAGACATGTAAAATAATAAAATAAAATTTTTACAGCAAAATTCATTAAAGTATGCAAAAGAAACGATCCAAATTTAGACGACTGCATATTGAATACCGTCGAAGAACTAAGACCTCATTTAAAACATGGTATACCTGAATTGGGAGTTCCACCATTGGAACCATTTGAAATTCCAGAAATTGGTGTGAGCGGACACCACAAACAAAATTTCACCGCTGTCGGACGTAACATAAAAGTTTTCGGTTCTACAAATTTCAAAGTTGAAAAATTCCAGTAAGTAAATCAATCCTTTCAAATTTCCCGCGTTTTTTTTTTTTTTTTTTCAAAAAATCTATATTTTAATCTTATTGTTTTAGCGTCGACTTGTCTAATGAGAAACATCCAAAATTTATGACGACCATTTTATTACCAAAATTGGACATTGAAGGAGAATACGAAATCAATGCAAAACTTCCCGTTTTGCCCATCAAAGGAAAGGGTTCATTTAAATTTACCGCACGTATGTATTATTATTATTATTATTATTTAAATTCTTATTCCACGTCTTTTTTTTAACTTTATTAACTTTTGTTTGTTGGAAAAAGTCAAAACGGTAGCCGATGCTGTAATGACGGGTGAAGTTTATCAAAAGGACGGTGCTGAATATTTGAGATTTACCGAAATGGATTTGAAAATCGATTTGGAAGATTACGAAGTACATTTGGAGAATTTATTCAACGGTGATAAAATATTGGAAGATGCAACCAATCAAGCACTCAATGACAACAAGGAAAAAATGAAAAAGGCATTGATACCAACGGTCGCAAAAGTGGCATCGGATTTCATGATGAATTTGGCAAACGAAATTGCCCGTCATCAATCTCTCGATGTTTTGTTACCCAAATAATTAATTCGTTATACTTTTTTCGTTGTCAAAGGTCAAAAGAAACCAAAAAAAAATAAAAAAATAAAAATTATAATGACATAAAATATTATTGTTTTTACAAATAGTTAAATATTATTCAATTTATACCTGTAGTCTTTCTTATTCGTCTTTTCCTCTTTTTTATTATTATTATTAACACTGCAGTAAATATGTGCAAAAATGTGCCATCATTTGCCGCCGTTTTGATAATAAAGATAGAAAAAGAAAGAGGAAAATGTTTTAGTTCCTGTTTAATAAAACCTCAAAATAATATTTAAAAAAAAAAAAATTTAATCTGTGATTTTAATTATTGTTTACATTTTAATAATTATAATAATAATAATAATAGTGTTTAATAAAAGACAAAATTAAAAAAATTTTTTTTTTTTTTTATAAATGATTAAACCTAATAGCTATCATAAGTTGTAAGTTGCCCTTCTTCCATTGAAGACGAAGATGATTGATTGGAAAGAGGAAAGAAGAAGAAGAAGAAGCAGGAAGAGGAGGAGGTGGAAAAAGAAAAAACAAAAAGGAAAAGAAAAGGAAAAGGAAGAAGAAAATAGAAAAAAAAAAAAAAAATTTTTTTCCCGTCGCGATATCACGTTAAAAACTGCTGTTAATGTAAAAGCATACAAACGAACCAAACGTCAAGGTTTGAAAGAAGAAAGAGCAACTGAAAAACTTGAGAAACAGCAAAAATTAGAAGCGGAAAGAAAGGTAATCAATTATTGACCTAATGACCTCTCCCTCTCTTTCTCTCTCTCACGTGTTTAACTTTTGATTTTTTTGTTTTTAGCGATGGAAGAATTCTCAGACGAGGATGGAAATTCCGAATCGGAATCCGTTAGAATGAAAATAAAAATAAAAAGTGGAAAAGGAGGAAGAGGAAGCACGAGAAGGAGGAAAACTCAACCAAGGTATACGAATAGCGATGACAAAGACGAAGATGATTGATTGGAAAGAGGAAAAAAGAAGAAGAAGAAGAAGGAGGAGAAGGAGGGGGAGGAGGTGGAAAAAGAAGAAACAAAAAGGAAAAGGAAAAGAAAGAAGAAAATAGAAAAAAAAAAAAATTTTTTTTCGGTCGAAATGATTTTCGCAGCACACAATGCTTTGGAAATTCGAGTTTTTTTCGTTTTTTAATTTTTTTTTTTTTTTTGGTTTTTCGTATAAAACGGAAATGACGTCGTCGTTTGCGGGGGTTAGAGAGGGTAAAGGAGAAAAAAATGAATTAGGTTAAGAAAAATAATAATCTAAAAAAATGCTATTTTTTTTAATTTTTTATTTTAATTTCATGACTCGATGATTGATTTTAGATAATTTTATTATTATTATCACTGTCGATATTATCATCAATATCAATATTACTATTATTATTATTAATGTTAGTCAAAGTATAAGAAAAACTAAAATAAGTATAAAATGTAATTCAATAATAATAAGTCAAGTTTTATTTTATTTTATATGAAAACGCGTTTCAAATTAAAACAAAATATTATTATTATTATTTTCACTATTAAACACGACAAGGCTCTTATTTGTCGGGGTTTTTAAGTATTTATCCCAGG